ACTCAGTCGCCCCACCTCTCGCAGAGGATGGCTAGATGGCTATCCTTCTTTGCGGAATGTAACTTCAAGGTAAAGTATAAGCCGGGAAAGCAAACGCGTTGTCACGCAGACCAGACTATGAGCTTGCTCATGTTACAACTGTAACGTCGTCCGTGACAGAATTGATCCGCACCGCGTATGCGGGTGATGAAATATGTGTGGCTTCTCTACGGGCTCTAGGGAGCAAGGAGTTTGGAAACTCGGACAAGAATTTGTCACAAAGACTGCGTGCTTGATTGCACCGATATTCGTTGAATAACGGGTTGCTATATTATAGCACCGACTCAACGGAAACACCACGAATTGCTGTTCCTCATGATGAGAATTTGAAATCTCGCATCCCCTATGAGGCTCACGACACGCCACTCAGTGGATATCTCAGTCGTGAGAAAACGTACAACTCTGTGAGTCACCACTATTGGTGGCCCAGATTGCTCAAATGAACGAGCGCCTGTGTGCGCACGTGTGAGACGCGTCAACGGGTAAAACCCTTTCCAGATGCGGTTGCGACGCCCACCAGCTTACTGGTACCCACTGGGTTCTGGCAGTCCATGAGGTTGGACTTTGTGTTTGGCCTGCCGAAAGATTTGGCGGGCAACACGGGTGTCGTGGTACCCGTCGACCGGTGGAGCAAGGTGTCTCATATGGCGGCGTGCCGGACACCATCGACACAGTTTGTACAGCAACGGTGTTTGTAGATCGTGTTTTCCGACAACACGGACTCACAATGTCGATTGTTTCTGATAGAGATCCCCATTTCATGGAAAATTTTTGGTCGACAATCTTTAAGGTGCTCGGCACCAAGTTAGATATGTCGACAGCGAATCATCCGCAGACCGATGGTCAAACCGAAAGGGTGAATCGCGTCATCGAAGACGTTCTTCGCAGTATCTGCGCTGAGACGCCGAGGCGCTGGCGCGTCATGTTGCAGCTTATAGAGTTTGCAGTAAACAGAGCAGTGCATTCGTTTACCGGCTACACGCCGTTCTACGTGAACGGGCTGATTCACCCTCGCGTCCCGCTGACGCCGTCGTCCCATGGCTCAGGGCTTCGTGGGGGAGGAATAACCGAACGACTAGCTAATGTCAGCCTCTCCACCATCCGTAAGAAAGTCGAGGTCTTCTTGTCTATCAGCCTGAAGTCCTACGACACGTTCGCGAAGCGATGGCTGAAAGTCAAGACCTGCAGAAACAATATGCAGATGAAAAAGGGAGAGACAAAGTGGAAAGCTTAAAGGTCAAAAACCTGCTCTATTAAATTAAAAAATCTGCCTACACATGCAGCCTCTGCTATCTTCAGGATAAAGCTTCGTCCACGGTACACCGGACCGCTTAAGGTTGTGGCCAAACGGGGCCTGGCGTACACGCTGAACCGTTTGCGACGCATTTGCCTGCTCCATGGCTACGAGTCGCTCCGACAGAGCGCGAAGTCCTCAACGCGAGGCAGCTGGCACATGACGTGCTTTGAGAGCGTCCGCACAGCGATATGGTACTTCAGCATGACGCTCAGCGGAGCTCCGATCACGACGAACCTCGACCTCAAGGGTTCGAAGAGTATCACGAGTCACCGGGCAGCGGTCTGCCCGTTCGTCGCCGCCCGCCACCGACTCTTCTCGATCAGAACAGTGAGGTCCAATATCACGTGAAGCGTCTAGTACGACGACGTCGTCACCAGGATCAGACCCAATATCTTGTGAAGTGGCCGGGAATTCCCGATTCTGT